CTTCCAACCCCCCCCCCCCCCCCCCCCGGTTTGGTACCATCTTATAGTGTTCAGATGTGTGATGTTAATAGTAATATTAGTTGGTGACAAGGTAAATTAGACCCGTAACACTTTGGAATGGCCAAGGTGTGCTTATTTATATAGAATGTGTTATAGCATTCATGTGATAATAAATACTATTAGCGTGTTAAGCAATGTATCTTATATAAGAAACAAACATTCTAGTCAAAAAGAAAAGGTTATGATAACAAAGGTTGTGGAAAGAATAAAGTGGTGATTTTTCTTTGTTATGATTGACTACATACTTTGATATCCTAGAGTGAGTTATGTGTTCTCTCTATATGTGGGAAAATAAAAGAGAACTAGTTGTTACTAGACCCAAGGTGATGCCATGGTGTTAAACAAATTTGAGTTGATTTATATCATAATTTAAAACAAATATCATATGCATATTATTTTTTAGTTGAGATCATGGTACATGAATTGACTAAAAGTTACTTAAGCTAATTACAATTTGTTTCAAAATTCAAGAAAGTTTCATGTTTTGACTAGTATTACAACAACTAAGACCCACCATGATATTTATGTAGCACTTTAGTGATCGACTAACTTAATGTACATTGAGTGTTTCATCACTTGTCATCATGTGCTCATAAGTGGTCATCAACTAGCAAACCCTATTGTATCATCTCCACTATAAAAATGCCTTATTTTGACTTTCAAGAAAAAAAAAGCTCCTGGTTATAACTCAACTCAAAATAACTTTAAAATCTTTTTTCTCCGACTTATAGGTAATTCTTATTGTCCCATCAAAGAGGTTTTTTTTTTTTTTTGCATAGAAATAATTTCCCCATCTTTATTTATTGCATCTAATCTCTTAGTGGTTAGATTAATCTATTTTTCTCTCCTAACATTCCCTCATTCCTTTCTCTATCAAGGAGTTTCTCAACTTGACAACTTTACCATCTCTCTTTTCAAATCCTCTTCTCGATCATTGATTATCAATTACTTGTAAATGGGAAACATGTGTCTACACCATCAATTAAAGTTAATCAAAAGAGTCGTGACAACTCAATGGGAAGTGCCTAAAGTATAAATAATAAGCGTTATAAATTACTTTTTTTTTTTGAAAAAAAGTATTTAAAGTTATTGGAATATTAAATATGAGAAAAAAAATGCTCTAAATAAATAAATAACAATAATGAGACCTAAAGTTAAATTGGTTCAGTCTCAAAGACCTACAATCATAATATAAGCTTCATCTTCATTTGTTTTTTTATAACTCCAAAAAATATATAAACCAAGTAATGAAAGGCAAATTATATTATAAGTTAAATGTCTGTCATTATCTATAATGTTGAGGACTAAAACTATAATGTTGACACCCACACTCTTTACCAAAGGTGGCACTCACTATCACAATGAGGTTATCACCCACCACTTCTACCATCACTATAGACCCAACATCTTGACCAAAGATATCCTCCCCTACCTAAACTAATGACGATCAATTAAATACAATTCCAAAGTCTTGTAATTCAATTCTACCTTTAATGAAAACCTATTTTATATAATTTATGTCTATTACATTGTATAAAACTTTATATTAATATGAAGAATTGTATCCATCATATCTCTATGATTTATTTAAAGTTAGTGGTTAGCGTATGAATCGAACTCTAACTATCCCATTTATTATAAATGACGATAATTGATCGATGAAATGGGCCTTAAACAAGTAAATAAAACTCTAAATTTGATTAATATTGCAATCATTTGAAAGTAATTAAAACTCTAAATTTGATTAATATTGCAATCATTTGCCATAGTTATCTATTTTTAGAACAAGCAACTATTGCTTTGTCTCATTGAAAGTGACTTTGCCAATAAGCTATTTAAATGTTTTGAAAAGCGTCATTTGTGTAAAAACATAAATTGCAAGCCAACCCCCAGCTCTGTTCTCTCATTTTCTCCTTTTACAGCAGGCAGAGAAAAAGCGCGTAGCTGCAATAAATGAGGAGGCCTAAAGCTCGCCAAGCTGATGGGCACACCTTATTTTAATGCTCTTTTATGTAAAGTCTGATCCTAAAGTGAATCCAGGCTTAACCTACACCGGCGGCCAATGCTAAACTTATAAATTAGGGAGGATTAAGTTTTTTGGCTTAGTAATTAATTTTAATTAAGTTTTTAATCTGAGTTATTATCTATACATGGTTTTGGTAGTTTTGTAGATTAAATCATTTATTTTAATAATTTGTAATATTAATAAATTTTAAATGAAATGGGTGAAATTGCAAAAATAATTTAATTTCAGCTGAATGAAGAAACAAAAACAATTTATTTAGTTATTATTATTATTTTTTTACTTTAGAAAACTTTAGGGCAAAACTAATTTGGTTCGTATCTTTATCAGACTTATCTGAATAATGTGAATGTTTTGAATCTTAAATCAAAAAACTATATTATGAGAAAATAAATAAATAAACATATATATAAATAATAAATATTCATAAAATTAAATGTTATAAATTATAATTGATTAATTTTTATATTAATAAATTTTTAAGAAAAATTAATTGATTTTATATTCTAACGAATCAATTTTGAGCTGAACACGAACATAAGTGTTTTGAGTCAAGCTCGAACACATTGTTTACGAGCTATTTCAAACACAAGTTAATTTCGAACGAGTCGAACACTAGCCAAGAAAATTGACTCACTATTGGCTTACACTTATGTGTCAATTTTCTTCATGCCATACCCTCTTCAGGCCACTTCCTCCACAACATACCCCCCCCCCCCCCCCCCCGTTATATAATAGTGTACACGGGAGTTACATGAGAGTTACATGAGAGTTACAAGCGTGTACACGAGAGTTACATAGGAGTTACAAGCATGTATAATTGTTACAGCGGGGTAGGTTACAAGGTTACGGTGGGGTTACACGGGAGTTACACGAGAGGTACAACGGGGGTATAACCCGGGTTATAACCCCCTTGTAATCCCCGTGTAACCCCCATGTACCCTTTACGTACGAAACTCCTGCGTACGCTTGAAGTACATAATTTTTTCCCTTTTCGAGATAAATGGGTTGGGGGGAGCGAGGTCGTGCTAGTAATTTTATCTGTGAGTTTTATCTATATATATGATGTGTAACCTTATGGGTATATATTTGACTCATCTGAAATAGTGAATTCGCCGCTCTGCTCCCGAGGATGTAGGCATCTTTGCCGAACCTCGTTAAATCTCTCTGTGCTCTTCTGGATTTGTGTCGATTCATATTTTTCTTCCCTAATTTCTCAGCAATATATATACAGAAAGATTTAGGGCCCGTTTGGGACAGCTTAAATGTGCGGCGGCGTTTTTGAAAAAGCCGCCGTAGCGTT